ACACATGCATTGTATTGATTAGATCTTTATTTATGATTCGTCAGAGCTTCATGAAATTGATTGCTGGGCTCATCACACCAGGCTAAAAATCAAAGCTCATTCCAGGATCCCTTGAAGTTGTTTTTGGCTTGGATTCAAAAGGAGAATTAAAAAAAAGTAAACAACGACAACAACTTCCAAAGTTAGTAGATCTTTTTTACTGTGAGAATCAGTAATGGGAACATGAGTCAACTTTTCAAATGCAGCCGGGTCAAAGTTCTTGAGGACCGTGACAGAGATTCTGATTCCAGATGGTTGATTGTAGATGAAGTCCAACTTCCTTGTAGGACTGCAAAGGAGATGATCTGTCTGCTGATCTGATTAAATGGCTCACCTTTTGCGTAACTGGCTAATTATCTGATTACATTTGCATGTCTTTCCATATTGCAACATGCAACAAGGTGCTTTTATGAAGTTGCCTCCTTCTCTCTTTGTATAAGATAATGGAATTAAACCAAGAAAACAAGTCCATCGCTCTCTGGAATACAGTCACTCTAGTACTCTAGTATGGGAAACACAAACAGAATTCTGAGAAGTTCCAAGTGTAGTACTTTATTGATTTCTTTGCTTAAAATATGACAGTTCTTCCGATGCTGCCTGCTTCCCTCTGATTTAAAGGCAAAAAATGGGTTCGGAGTGTACAAGGACATGAATGTAGTACCTTTCTGCAAACTCTTAAGCCAAACCTGTCTTTTCCATGGATTGCATGGCAGCTGCAGAGGGCATGATTCTTGGAAAAAAGAATAGCCTCTTCCAGAGTTGCTGAGAGGGGCTATGTTAATACCTTCACATACTCAAGGGTCCATTTCCCCTTGAATCCCAAGTGAAGCAAGGCCTTACTAATTTCCCTAAACTTCCCGAATTAAAAGCCATTCAGGGGGGTGTTCAAAACTTTTTAAAGCAATCCAATTCTCAGGCCTAACCACATGTCTCTTGGGAGAGAATTAGTGACCATTACCAGAAGGCTGTGTTCATTGTTCTTGATAGTGTAAGTTAAAATACCTTTCAATAAGACTAAGGAAATGGTTTGAGAAGAATCGTTTTAGTCTTGAAAAGACAGAGTTCGTCTTTTTTGTTGGAACTAAAATGTCCTCCAAATGGAAGTGAGTAATCTATTTTTTTTTAATGTCCTAAAAGCTGAATTCACTTTCTTTATCCATGACAACAAGAGAAAGAGAACCTTTCAAAATGAACCGCTCTTGTCAGCCATTATTTTCATCTAGAATACTTTGTTGGAATGTCACAATATCTTGATACAACCTAGCATAGGTTCTTGTGACTTCCACTGATCCTTGCTGGGAATCCCCATTCTTCTCAATCACCTCTTTGTCTTCCTACCTAATAACCATATTTTAACCATAGTTTGTTAAATAAGCCTCAATGGCTGAATGCACAAATGATGATAAACTATAAAGGATAGATGAAAAACACAATGGCTTGATGTGCACAACACACTAAGATAAACAAAACACATTAGCTTGATGAATGAATCCAGTTATAGTACAGATTACACACATTTATAGATACTAGGTATTCAAGACCAGCATTTCTGAGTTAAAGGACAATGAAGATGATTGAAGGTCTGAAGGACATGCCCCATGAAGATAGGCAGAAGGAAGTTGGGATGTTCAGTTTGAAGAAAAGGAAGACTTAGAGGATAGTGTGTTGTAAGCCGCCCAGAGTCCCCCATTGTGGGGAGTTGGGCGAGGACAAGTTAAATAAATAAAATAAAAAATAAAATAAAAATATGTGATAGCCATGGAAGAAAACTATTTTCTGAAGGCCAGAAACTAGAATCAGAAATAATGACTATAAGATGCAGTTACTTAGATTTCATTTAAATATAAAGAATATATTTAAATATATCAGTTCCTGACTTTAAGATCCATACAACAATGGACTAGTCTACCTATGGAGAATGTGGGTTCTCTGGCCCGAAAATTTTAAGAAAGAGTCTGGAGAGTCACTTCCCATGGATTGTTTAATTGCAGTGAGTTGGACTAGTTAATCCTTGTGATCCCCTTCCAACTCCTCAATTCTATGATTCTAAAAGTGCAAAGGAAATGAAGGAACTTCAAGGTGAGCACATCCCCATTCTGAGATTAAGTAAGGAAATCTTCCAGTTAAACTGGAATTCAAGAAGAATCAGATGGTCAGGGATGGAATGGGAGAAAGGATGAGAAGATAGCAAAGAAAGCGGTGATGTTGGCTTTAAAGAGGCATTCTGAAATTGATAGGAACTTCCATTAAGTATGACTAATTTACATGTGACTAACTCTGTATCCAATCTCTGTGTGTGTGTGTGTGTGTGTGTGGGCATGTTCATAATTATAATTGCTTCTTAATCATTAAGAAGATCCTGCACCAACTCATGCCTTGATTGCTCTTCTCCCCAACCTCCAAGCCAGCTTTCCCAAGCCAAAATGTTGTTGGGCACTCAGTTCTTGTTGATTTCTCTCAAATACTGTTAATTCACTATTAAGTCTCTCTCTAATAGCTTAATGAATGCATTAAACCATGCACAAATTAGTTTTTTTTTTTTAATGGATTGCCTAGTTACTGATTGAAAGGGTATGATATATCATCACCGGCTCCGTGAGATTTAATGAGGCATTAAGGCTGTCTTCTGTCATGGAGTCCAGACACATGAACGATTCCCAAAATTGCACATACAAAGCTTGTACTCACTCTCTTAGTTTCATTCTCATCACCTTCATTCATCTTGACTTTCTCCTGCTCTTTCTGCACTTGCCAGGTAGAATGTAACTGGAATGAAAATGCAGTTTCCTCATCAGTTTTTTACTGAAAAGTGGCCCATTGTGGTGACAAATGTTATTCATGGATGCCAGGAAAGAGGTTAGAATATATTAACATAGCAAAGGTTGGCCCTCATATGGCTTAAATTACAATTGGGAAACTTCAGAAAACACTTCTCTTTTCCTATCAAGTCATTGCTCTCCAATTCATTCCAGGATGAAACTGCCTGTGGTCAACAGCACATAAACAAGCCCAAAATGAAAGGTATTTTTTTTTCATAACCAAGCTTCACAAGAACTAAATAATGATTGCTTCAGCATGCTCCATGGTGGTTTCTGGTGTTATATGATTCTGCTCCTCCAGCCCTTACATTTAATTCTCTTTCTATGACTCTGGATTTCTTAGGTGACCCTGTGTTTTGATCTGCTGAAGAAAAAAAGGAAGAAGGAGAAGGAGAAGGAGAAGGAGAAGGAGAAGGAGAAGGAGAAGGAGAAGGAGAAGGAGAAGGAGAAGGAGAAGGAGAAGGAGAAGGAGAAGGAGA